TATTTGCAAATTAATATTCAGCAAGTAGTATTATAAAAATAAGGAGTAGCAAGACGGTTGAGGGATTTAATAGGAGATATATATGTCTTGATTGGTAGATCATGAGATCAAATCCTGTTCATATCAGCAACAGCCAAAAAAAGTGAAAATCGTAAGACCTGAATCTTATTCTTAGGCTTTCTGTATGGTTTCATGCAAATTATCCACCTGTTTCGGACCTGATGTCTTCTTTCTGCAGAATTACAAGAATGCTACGCAGAAGTTTTGTAAAGCACTTTGAATAAGCAGAGATGAAATACATGGACATAGGCCTGACCCACCATTCTCTAAAGTCAATGGAAAGCTTCTCATTGATTTAACATATTTTGAATTAAGCCCTGGAAGAATAGTTATGTGGTGTATGATAACCACATCAGACAAAAATTATTGAGGCCAGCATCTTTCAAATAGTCAGACGTGCTGAAGTTTACTTAGATTTGTGGAGTTACACATGCCTACACAGAAATTCGCAGGATTAGAATCAGATGGGCATCTTTCAATAGGCAAGCTTTGCAGCTATGAAAGCAATAGCTTAGTGGAAAGTATATGTGGAAGTCCTCACCCTAACTGCCGTTATTGCTGGATAAAAATGTTTTTCACCAGAGTTAATGGGAAATGAGTAATTTTTCATAAATAAAGATTCCTCTCTGCTGGAGAAACCTAAAGAACACCGATCTCTGTTTCCTTGACAACATTTCCTGAATACTCAAGTATCCAGTATGCTCAAAAAAGTTGCAGTATCTATTTTACATTAGATACTTATCACACTATTGTGTTGGCATGCACTCATCTATTATCTGTGAGTATTTGTCACAGAAAGTTATGTGCCAAATAATGTATAAGAAATATCTGAGCTGACTTAAATGCACATGGTATTTTTCCTTGAATATTTTCATGGCTACTGAAAGTCATCAGATCTATGACCTAGAAAAAAGAGCATTCGTCTATGGTGTGTGGATATTAGCAAAGTAAGTGCTTTTTTTCTAGTAACGCATTTCTAAACTGAGCAGAGGGATCACCTCTACACCATGGCTGGAGGAAGTCCATCCTCTCATGGCTTGAATTTCAAGGTTTGAACTCAAACCCACTGGCTTTGCTGAAAGGGCACAGCATAGCTGCTTCTGAGATGAGGACTCTTAGGTCCACATTAGGAGTGGTTCTCTCTCTTGCTGGCTGCTCACTGTAGAAAACTGAAAGCCTGACTTTTCAGACATGCTAAGCCATATTGAGGGACAAAAATGAGCAGGAACTGCAAGCCTGCAATATTGCAAAGAACCTCAATTTCTCTTTAAATAGATTAAAAAAAAAAATCTTACTGGAAAAATAGATACTACCAGCTTCTGTGAACCCAAACCTAAATTTTATCCTTTAATTTCCCTTCAGTTTTTCTATAGACTGTCCCAGATGTAATAAGAATAAGCAGAAAATAAAGCAGCACTACAGTGGCATGCTGCTAATCGCTTTCTGATCCATTAGAGGGAAGTGTTTGCATACAATGTACTATATACTTCCCTCCAATCTCTTTTAACCATTTCTTTGGATGAGGATGATGAAATAGTATTCTCTGCTCCTAACATAATAAATTTGATTTTATTGCCAAATAAAAATCAAAGATACTGATCAGTGAATTTACTACTACCATTTTTATTAACAAATGCAAAATACAAAGTGTTTTGGGTTTTTTTCCCCCCCACCAGAAGTTAGTAGGTATAACTTGGGCCGGTCAGTGATGCCATAACCTCTACCTAGACAGTTCCTATAATTGCGCTACTTCACAACCGAGAATGTGGTTTCCTTCCCAAGAGAGCCAGCAGGACAAGAGACATCCCACACGATATAAATCATAAAAAAATACACAAATTTGCCAAAGAAACGTTGCCAAAGAAAACGAAGAGGGAAGACTGTAATCTTCCTGTGAGAATCTCAAGCTTCATCTAAATTAAAACTTCAGGTGTACTGAAAGGTTGTGGGTGGTTTCCTGTACAGGATAAGGAGATTGTTAATTGTCCTGCCTCAAACAGGTCTGCAGCCCTCCCTGAACTGTGGCATCCTGTTCTATGAATTATCTTCTATGGCCCTCTGGCTGCTTCCGATCTCTCATCTCCGTTGTTACCAGAGGATTTATGTCATGCTCTGACCCCATCCTTTAGACTATCTTTTCTGCCCAAAGGGGACACATGTGCTGACACATGATTTTCTCATCCTAAGTTTTGACTTATTAGTTCCGTTAGTCTAACTTAGAGGCATTAGTAGTTCCCTTAGTTCCCTTTGGAACCGTGCATCTCACAGTGTAAAAGGTTCGTAGGAGGAGCCAAGAAACTAGCCCACAGTTCTGATAAATTGCTGATCATTGAATGTTAGCACCTCACCTGTATCTTTTCAAGCACCACCTAATGACAGAAAGTGCTTGAATGTCTCTCCTGCATCTGCATTCCCAGATATGTGAAGAACTCTATCCATGGACTATCCAGGCTGCTAACAGATACCATAATGCAGTTAAGCCAATGTCTGAATGGCCTCCCTGACTACACAGTACAGATTTTTTCTGGTGCAAGTTTCTAAGAACTTGTCCAATCTACACCTTTCAGACAGCACATCAGGGAAGAGTTGCACTGTGTGAGTAATTCAACTTCTACAGGCTTTAGAAGAGTTTGGTTTTAGTTACATATTGAGAACTACTGCTGCCCTCTACTGTGTTATTATGGGTTGTGCATCTGATAATCAATGAAAGCCACAAATATTCAAGCAAGATTTCTAGTCTTAGCCAGAACTTAGCATACTTAATATTTCCATGTATTGATAAAAGCATTCAAAGAATCTGTTTTTAATTCATCAACGTATTCTGATTCTGCATGGCCTAGGTCAAATGGAAAAATCTTTATCTATTTTATCTGATTTTGACTCTTAGAAGAGACAGATCCTTGCAACAGGTTGGACATGTTTAATTGCTTCAGCAAAATGTTCTTTTCTTCTGGTAATAAATAGCCATCAGAAGAGTAAGAACTATGGAGTTCTTACTCCATAAGGAAACCAACCTTGGAGCCAAAATGACTGCATCAAGGTTCTGCCTGGGACACAATGTCTCTGATAACCTGAACTTCAGCTTAGATTATTATGGCCACCTAAGTCCTAGTTCAATTGAACTAATCTTTCCTTAGTCTCAACTTAATCAGTTCTGAAAGAATATAGCTGACTATCCTCTCAAAAGCTAAGTTTCTTTCTCACTGATGCTACGACAAGTAACATGAGTGCAACCTCGCTATATTCACACCCACTACAAAACAGGCTCCAAACAGGAGTAGCTTATTTCTTTCCAGCTCTTCAGACTCCAATAACCTCCTCTTTTATCACTTTCACCTCCATGCCTCTGAGTAGGTTGCATTGCTTGTAGGTTAGAGAACTCATCCTCTTCATCTAAAATAATTTTAGAATTATTTTATGCTTCCCAATCTCACAAATCCAATTACTTCTCTCCTGCAGTGCTTCCTGCACTAGAATGCAACTATGGTGTCACCAATACATAGTACCAAACTGAAAAACTCATCAGTAGATGGGAATAGATAAGCAGATGGTAGCAGACCCCTAGATTAAAGCTAGAGACACAGTCTTCCTACTCAAGGGAAAGCTCAGACTGTTCTCACTAATTATCTATGCAGGTCTCTAAAGGAATTAGATACACATTGCAAAGGCCGCAGACTAAGAGCCTGGCTAATTAAAAAATTGAACTTCCTTCCAGTAGATGCAGTGACAAACACACCGTGTGTCCACACATGCTCTGAGTCCCTCGTTTGGTGGTGACCATCCTGGTTAATATTCTGAATACTGAACCAGAGAAACCTCCAGAACTAAAACCACAAGCTATTACCACTTTATGTCAAACCTGAAACTTCTCATATGAGGGCTGATGCAGTCTTATATCTGTAGTACATGGGACACAAAGAAGAAAACCTGTAATACACATTCACTAGCGAATTCCAGCTACTTTTATTTCTGTAACACTTTCAGGTTTATTTTCTGTTATTCACTATAAAACACCTAGTTTCTTCTTCACAAAATACACCTGTAACTGAAGTTCTCCATGGTTCCTCATTTCTTCCACAAGCTTTATTATGTAAAGGCTTTTCTTCCAGGAAAAGTGGAGTATTAAAAAACACTAAAGCTGGAGTCAAGCCATACAGCCCAGCTCCAGACCCGAGCTGAAAGCTGAGGTTCTTTCCATTGAACTGAGTTTGCTACAGGGAAAGGAGGTAACAGTTTTGCTTCTCCTATCTTAATGACAGTGTGACAAGGAAGGTTGTCTGCATTTTTGCCCCTCAAACATTTCAGTGATGACAGAGGGATCCATGCATAGCTCAAGGATTCCAGCTCAAAGGGGATTCATCACAGCCATGGGAGATGGAGATCAGTACTGACAACAAAAGATACACGTCTCTAAAAAGATTTGGCCACTTTCAGTGAGAATGCTGAGGACTTCAACTAAGAGTCGACAAAAGAGTTAGTTCAGATGTTTTCTGCCTTCTCATTTCTGAACATATAATTTACCTTTTCAGCACATTTCTCCATCTCACCTTCTCAGCATCATTCATATCATCTGGCCTCATCTGAGAAGAGAAATCTCACGTCCTAAGTTTTGGCAAACTTATGGTTGCCAAAGGTGATTCCAATACTCAAATTACCTCTATAAATATATCAAATCTGACCCAGAATAAGCAGTGCACATCACCATTAAAAGAGAATCATAGAAATCACAGACCCATAGAAACTAGTGCAATTCCTTATCGCATAATTTTCCTGATGACTGCAAAGCTAAACCACTGAAAATATTTCTGAAAATTAGCATCTTTGCTCTAAAATCAAAAAAAAAACCCTTTCCTACGAGAATTTTTTGTATTCCTTGCAGTTGCATAAGGACATAATGGGACATGGCCCAATTCTTAAACTCTAGTTTACAAAACACCTACCTCCAGGACTTTCCCAGTAATGAACTGGTGACACGCTTCGCATTTGACTCCAAAAAGAACTTGATAGTCCTTTTCGCAATAAGGAGCACCATCTCTGAAAAATAAAATCCATAAATTATAAACCACCTTTTAATAAACAGGTTACAGCATGACTTACACTCTTCCCTTGTCTTCAGTCTGAAACTCCTACGTACAGCAATAGGCAAATGGGATACAATTCAAAGTAAATATTTTGTAGTAGAAGAAAAAAATAATATTCTCATTAGTGTCTCTTATTCCTTAAATTCCCATCGAGAAAAGGCATCCATTACAAACCACTGAAGTGAATCTCATTCTTTAGAACAGACTCTCTGCACCTGCAGGTGGTGCAATTCTAGGGAATCAGTGGAACTATGTCCATGGGGATGAGAGAAGATCAGGTATTTTTTGTTCACTTCAGCAAAAAAGTCTTTGGTAGTCTGCAAAAGTATAAGCAGTCACTTTTAAGTGTAAGGTTATGTAGTTTTTTAGTCTTAACAAGGAACGTATAGTAAAAGTGGAAATACTAGTCAGCTTAGGAGTGTTTCTCAGGCACTGAACCTATTTTGAGGAGTTACAAATGCTTTTTATTAAATATTATACATCCGTTAATGACATGTTTGTGAAACATAGTTTCCCTACTTTTTCCTCTTTGTTATATGGGGGGGAACAGAGACTGCATCTTCATTCCCTCTGTTTTATCAGTACACCACTTTTCCCCATTCTCTTCCTCTATACTTCCACTCAAAACTCTCTTCATTAATTTCTTATATGGAGATGAGAAACACAGTGTCAGGTCAATCACATCATGTTTACTCTATTCTCTAGCAAAGGCAAGCAATGAACAGGTTCTTACTTTTGTCCTCAAAATCACATGTTGGAAAGCAAAATGACACAAAGCTCTATCTCGCTAACACAGAAAACACATGCAGGAATTCACCTAATGCTTTGTGGGACCATGGACATAACCCCCCTTCTGTACTGATATTAAATACCATTAAACAGCACCTTTCAGTTGCTCTTTTCCGTTTCCTTTCCCAACTTGGCGCTCACTGGGAACACAGATTTTGGTGTATATGGAAAGGTGGTCAAAACTGTATTTCAAAAGGTGAACTTTGCCGCAAGCTCTTCTTCATTGGCAACAAGAACTCATGCCAGGAGTGCAGAGGAGATGCAGATGTTACTTACTTGCTGATGTATTCCCCAGTTAGGACCTTCCCGCAGGCCTTGCACTTAAAGCACCCCAGGTGCCACTGCTTATCCAGAGCTAGCAATGCTTGTCCATTTTTTATGTCTCTTCCACAGCCAGCACAATCTGCAAATAAACAAACAAATGCATTTGTTGTCAGTCACTTGGTTCATTAATCCTCACTAACCACCCGCCAATTGCTACACTTGGTAACTAAATGAGGGAATTACACAGCAATGCAAAGATACGTCTTCCTTTCCTCAGACGCTTCTTCCGTCCTGTATAAAGATTCAGTCTTTGTCCTTACGGACATACTCAGCAGAAGAGGGAAAGTACCTCTTCTGGTTTTCATGCTGTCTATGACTTAGAGACTGCCAGGTAAGCTCTGTACAAACTTCAGATTTTGCTAGGAATGAGCCACATGAATTATCACTCAGAAAAGGTCCTGTCTTCGAAAACAATCTAAAGTGTTTTTTCTCAGTTTGCTTTTAGCAAAATCTTGACTGCTTACATGAAGCTAAGCAAGGAGGCCTGGGTGAGCATCATCAGGACTCTGCACTTCCCCGTTGGGTGGCAGCAAAGCCCAGCATGTCCACCCAGCTCAGGGGCGGTGGCACATCTCAGCCAGGAATGGGGGAGACCTTTCCCAAGGCAAGGGTGACTGCAGTATGACAGCAGTGAAGCTGCATGGCAGGACATATTGTCTTCTACCTGCAGGTGTGGGAAACTGTAGTTCTCATTGTCTCTAATCAGCATAAGAACTCTCACTCAGATTTTGGTACTACCTTGGTAGCTGACACTCACTTTTCACTGCGATTCTGAAAGATTCTTTGATGACAGCATGCAAACCTGAAGCCACGAGCACTGAATGCCCTCTGTCTCGAGGATGCCACAATGTCTTATGTCACATCAGAAATCTTTGGTTCAGCCCCAAGCTCCCATTCCTCTCTGTTCAAACATAAAATACTCAAAGAGATTTCCTGGTAAGGGGCAGCTCAGCACATGGTAAGATCTGAAGAGACTGATGTGGCAGACAGCACTGAACTGCAAGGGTTGTGCTACAGCTTCTGTGCCCAGCCTCAGGGGACAGAGGGAAGGGAACGCCTGGAAGACTAATGAAGCAGAAAGGGAATGCCCATCAGCTGAAGCCACAGAGGAGACAGCCTGGAACAAAGGATTTTCCATATTTTATTATCCCCAAACTCGGTGTTCCTTTGGTGTATGTAACATCCTCTCCACATGCCCGAAACATCAACAAATAGCAACAAACCGAGACCAACAGGAACAAAGCAATCCAAGCAGTTAAAGCCCAGGCACCAGGGGAAAGATCAATCTGACTGAACAGGTACAGCCTGAAAACCTTCATCTCCTCAGGGAGTTACAGCCCAGGCAACACCACACTTTGCAAAAGGGTGAGTCCAAGTTCATTATCACAACTGATAATGAGAGGAAAGTCACTCCTTTTGACACTAAAGGGCCTGACTTCCTGCTATCCAGGGCACCATTCATCGCACGTCCCTCTTTCTGTCAGCGTTGTTCTCAAATCTTTCCAAAAAAAAAAAAAAAAAAGTCCAAAGCATCATGGTATCTTGGGATAAAATGCAAGTCACAGACTGTTGACACAACTTGGAATTGAAAAGCAACCCTGAGATGTCCTAATACCAGGACTTTGCTCTAGAGGACAAATGTTACAAATTGAAATCATGAAATGACAAGGACTGACAGCATGTAACGGATCCCTCTGCTCTTCCATGCCAGCTCAAGGCTCCATGCCACTCCGTAACAACGGCAAAGGCTGGAACCGGTCACCGAGTCAGGCTCTGGAATTTCCAGCATGGGGCTGAGGAGGGGACAAGCAAACATCTGTCAGGATGGCTTTAGTACACTGATCTTGCCTTTGCTTTTGGGAAGATACTACATCATCTCTTGAGGTCCCTACCAGCCTGTGTTTTCTTATGCTAAATCTGAAATCATGCAATTTGCCTTCTGATTGTGATGACAAATAGGATCTTTCCTCCAGTCTCAGTGGGTGCAGACCTGCAGTTTTAAACAGCACCCATTTCTCAGCTTCCTAGCACTACTAGGCTGGCTAGTGTGCCAGTTTCCACATTCCTGACCTGGGGTCCTGTCAAACTGATACATTCCCTGTTACATTAATCCCTCAAAAAATCTGCTGTATTTTCCATGCAAATTTTCTTTGCTTCCAAGAAGCTTCCATGAAGCTGAAATTTCTCAGATATTGAACCAAGAAAGAGATTTTTAAAGCATTTAGTTTTACTTCTAACTGAATTGCTGAAGCAGCCAGAAAAGAAAAATTGCCTTACACAAATGGTCCACCTGGTCAGGTATCTCTGTCTTTGCTGGTGTTAAAACCAGGTACATGGAGGAATTAGGGATCCATGAAGTATCTCTACCTGTTTAATTGCTTCTTGTAACCCTAAGGTGGTGTTGCTCCACTTACTCTTGTGCTCATGTGTGATACAAGGGGTTGATAACATGCTTTTATTATTCTACAGTGACAATGACATTTACTTACTCTTTCTGGGTTCCTTGAAGCATTTGCAAGAGTAAGTTAACATTATTATTTCCATTCTGCTAATATCACGGATATGTTGAGTGTCTAGAGTCAAAGTAAACTAATAGCCCAGTACTGTCGCACTAGGCTGAGATGGCTTTTAACTAAACCTGATTTTAACTCTGGCAAAACAGTTGGGTATATACATGAAAAGCTAGCAATTATCATTATCTCCTAAAATAGAAAGTAAGTAAGGCTGGGCTGGGCTAAGAAAAGACCATTTGTTCATCCAAATTCTACAAATAAGAGCCATTTATGATCTCAGGCCCACATGAGGCACGTTAAAGCCCTTGGCTGAATCTCATCAGCACACAGCACGTGCAGGCAGGATCTCAGTATCACACTAAGCACATTCTGCATCAGCCTAACCTATAACCAGCACATACTGCAAATAAAAGGGCCGGGAGGTAAGACTAGTGGTCCACAAACATATGCCAGAGCAGACTTGTACTAAAAAAATCTGAAAACCCTTCCCAAAATTTTGTGCAATGGTTCCCATCATGGTTCTCTCTCATTTCATATCTGGGTCTAACAGACTGCACATCTTGACCTTGAGCTTTCTCGTGCTTTCTTTTTGTCATATAATCCAGACTCTTCCCTACTCCCATTCCTTGCACATCCACACGTTTAGCTGTGCCAGTATAACAAAGAGGAGGAGGAGGAGGAAAGTACAGTGTACTGGTTAAAATGCGGAGTGAGCAGTACAGTTCCCACATGCACTTACGATCTAAAGAAAAGTATGCTGCAAAAAAACCCTACGTGGAATTATGTTTGAGCTGAAGGAAGACTTAAGACTAGACATTCCATGGCACTAATTCTGCTAAGAAATGTCAAGTAACACATGTTCATATGAATTGTGTCCATGTCCAGAATCTTCAGCTCTATGACAGCCATTTCTCAATAAAAACACTGTAGTATGACTTCAATAAGGACCTGATCATTAGGTGGTTATCCAAGAATGTCAGGAAAATAATGTATTCCTCCAAAATCCATTTTAAGTGGGGAAAAAAAGATTCTACCTGAGAGCATTGGATGTATAGTTACCCAAATCATGATGTAGTCTCTCTGGGCTGCCTGCGATGCCAGCAGCTGCAGCCTCCACAAGCAATATCCACTTGCTCAGACATTGTGTACAAAAATTGAATTTACTCTCTCATAACAGCATTAGCTGACAGCAGCATTTTTTAGCCAAGTAAAAGCTTCTTACCCGATTCTCTGCCAGAGATCCTTAAACATACCTGTTGTGTCTTTCAAATACTCTGGCTAGGCCTGCTCAATCTGTAGATATATCCTAACTTATTTAAGCTACAGCTCTGGAATAAAAGAGCCCAGAAGGGTGTCACATTTTATGTGTCCAGATACAAAAGCAAATGCCAATACCTAGACAAAAGGGCTGTGATGTGCGGTCAGCCAGCCCAAAAGCATGGAAAAGTGGGGGGACAGGACAAGAGAAAGTAGCATGGTACTATAATATTCTATATGATTAAGACCTCCACCCCCCACGCACCTTAAGCGGCCTCACTACACGATGTAGACCAGGGTGAGCTGCCATCCATGACACCTTGCTTTTAAAGATGTGATGAGAAAATGCGTTTCCTTTTTTAGCATCTGCACCACCCCAGACATCCAGGAGTGAAACATCCTGCACAGCAACCCATTCGTCACTGCCTAAATTAAGCGGTGGATTTTCTTCCTTTGCGTCCCTCCCCTGCTCTCAGCCAATAGCAGAGAGGTCTCAACACAGCGCAGGCGGTGGGCTCAGAACTGATACAGCTGTATTAACCCTAAGCACACTGCATGTAACTTTACCCACTCCCATTTGGATTGCTTTGAAAATTTACTAGCAATTATATCTTTATTTCATATCCTCTGCTCACCCCATATAACTTAGGAGAGGAAAAATCATTGCTACCAGATTTTGTCCTAATGAACATGGTTATGAAAAGTCATGTGCAGGGAGAGTTTACATGAGCATACCAACTCTGCTTGGTGCGGGGTTAGCTCCATAGACAGAGCTAAGTGCAATCTGACTTAATGATGCATAACTAAGTCACCAAAAAGTTCCTCCGATCCTGATGGTCATTAGTAGCACGTCTAGATAAAGTCTGAAGCTGCCACAACCCCTATGGGTTACTAAAGTAACACTCTCTTTATACTCCTTTTGTTACTGTTCCCCTCCTTATAAAACACAGAAATATTCATTTTATAAATACAGCGCCAGCAGGCTTCTGCCCTGAAACAGGTAAAGCAGGGCAGAATGAGGGGGATTTATTATTATTATTATTATCATTTTTGAAAGGAACAAACAAGTTTTCATTGGACTTACACAGAAATATCAAATATTATCAAACATAGCTGGACCTAAAGAGCAAGCTACAAGGAACAGTGATGTGGAAGTGAAGAAAGAGGCAAATATTACCACTGAAGTCAAGGTCAAGAAATCTCTATGTAAATAACTCTTAGCCACCTTGAAAAACAACTTACATCCAATAATTCTTCTGTGGCAATTCGAAGGTTGCGCAATTATCATTTCTCATAGAGTTAGGAAGAC